AGGGAGAAGTAATTTTACTTCAGAAAATTTAATTCAGTGGTACACAGCAATTTCTCCATAATGTTTTGCTTATGTAGCTTTCTCAGTAAAAAATGAGAACATGTACCCACAAAGATGCATGAATATATACACTACCCTACAGAACACACATAACATGTACATGTGCAGAACACATCATATGCAAACCAAATGTCTGAAAAGGAGATGACTGAATCCTTCTCATGTTTTACCTCAATATGAGGTATCTGAAGACTGTTAGCTTTTCTGGTTTTTTTTTTTTTTTTACTTGTGTTACCTTCCTTTGCAGTGCGTTTTGCAGAAATCTATCTTATGTGGGTTACTTTGAAGCCTATGTATCATAGTCTAAAAACTGGCACAAGTAAACTGAAAAACTTCACAGTACCCTGGACGAAAAGCAAGGGTATTATACTAATTTCTCCTCAGAGCATAGTGACAGGCAGAATGAGTAAGAATGCCAATACCAATCTGAACACCAAAGGGTTAAGTTTAGTTTATACCCTTTTTTTCAATCATGAAAATAAGTTCTAACGTGTTCTTCTGGTATAACAATAGATAGCTTTGAGTATCATTATTTTGGACAATGTTGGCATGAGGGGTGTATTAGAGGATAAAAGTAACTAGAGGACCAAGACCAAGAATATCCAAGGGTGTGGTGATTAGAAGAACAGAGAAGACATAATATGAAGAAAAAACATGAGCAAAGAGCCAATGATGGGCAGGTGAAATGGATGTAGCTCAGCAGTAGAAGACTTTCTTACATGTGTGCAGTCCTAGGTCTGATTCTCAGCACTACACAACTAAACAAAAAGGAAATGTGGCAGAACATTAATGGTATTAACTCAGAGATGGGCATGCTTCTATATCTACAACTATATCCAAATATAATAAAATTGCCAAGTTTTTCTATATGTTGAAATTTTGAATAATTACACATTAGCAAAAATAAGGAAAAAGAGCCAGGCTTGAAAATATAGGGACTAGAGCAAGAAGAGAAGAAAAAGCAAACATGATCACAGGATTTTGTCCCAAAGATCATGTAAATGGTTAGGTATGACAAAAAGAGTGACAGAGACACTGCAGGAGTGACAAAGGAGAAAGATGCCAGCGTTAGTTTAATTTATTTAAAGTACTAGTAAGACAAAAATAGTTTCAAAAGGGGCTGGGAAGAGGGCTCAGTGGTAGACTGCTTGCCTCCCATGCATGAGACTGTGAGTTTGATTCCTCAGCACCACATAAGCAGAAAAAACCAGAAGTGGCACTGTGGCTCAAGTAAGTGGTAGAGCACTAGCCTTGTGCTGAACAGCTGAGAGACAGAGCCCAGGCCCAGAGTTCAGGCCCCACGACCTCCCCAACCCCCCACCTCTCCAAAAGACAGTTTCAAAATCAAGAGAAGACACATACATAGGGAGAGCTCAGTACAGAGAAAAATACTAGAGATTTTGGTAAGGTAGTCAGCTATGGTAAAGTGATGATTAAAACTATGAGAACACTCTCCACAAATGGGAAAGGGCAGAGAATTGAAACATTGCTAAGCCTGAAAAGAAACAGAACAGCAAAACAGATGTATTCTACAGACTAATACCCTATGTGCAATTTGGAAAGCCAAACTACACCATCTGTGTATCCTCGTCAGGATTACAATGGATAACAGCATCATCACAAAGAACTTGCTTTTGGAGTCTTACAGACAACGGAGGTATAGAATAAAAATAATTTAAAACATGATTTCTTAATATTTAATAAAATGCCCATAAGTGCTCTTTCAAGGATGAAAAAAGTAATTCAACTGCTTGTTCAGCTACATAAAATGGATCTGGGCAACTGCCCATATCCAAGTTACTGCCACCCTTAACACGAGAAGGAAAATCCATTGAGCAGAGAACCACCTCAATTCTCCCCAGCTGTCTCCACTCGTTTCTAATTTCTATCACTATAGATGAGCTTAACTGATTCTCATACTTTGTAAAATGCATAACCAAGTGCTTATGCGTCTGTATTTAGCTTCTTGCATTCAATGTTTCTTAGAATCTTCAGTGTTCTTGAATGTTTCAAAAGTGTCTTTTTCCCTTTCATTGATGAGTAGTATTTCACTGCAGTTTATCCATTCTGTTCATGGACATTTGGATGTGTCTAAGGTTTGTATGGTTAAGGCTGCCATGGCCATTCTTTGCTTGTGAAGTCTTTCTGGAGATATTTTCATTGCTCTTAAGACAGTATCACCGAGGAAAATGCCAAAAGTTCTCTAAAACTTTCATGTAATTTTACCAGAAAATATTTCTGCCAGAAATAAAGTTCTAGTTACCCTAAATACAACCAAATCTTTGGTGTTGTGTATTTGACTTTAGTCCTTCCAACAGGTTTCAGCACCTTTCCTTCTTTGGTGAAGTACCCAAGTCCTTCTTTCTCATTTTTTTTTGGGGGGTGGTGGTGGTGTGGGGGGAGGCAGTGCTTGGAATCAAACACAGAACCTATGTATGCTAGGTCAGCACTCTGCCACCGAACTACCATGCTATGTCTACAGATCCCAGGCTCGCCTTTCCATGTGACATCAACTTGTCCCAGCACCAGCTGTTACACTTTGCTCCACATTCAATTCATCTGTCCCCTCGGTTATAAATCACCCTGGATACGCATATATGCCTATCACTGGTCTCTTCTGCCACAGTGACCTATTTGTCCTTACGCCAGTACCATACCGTCCTGATTACTGTAGCCTTACGGCATGTCTTCTAATCTGGTAAGTTATTCTTCAACTGTGTTATTTTTAAGTTGTTTGGCTGATTAGAGCCTTTGTATTTCCTGATAGTGAGTTTTAATGTCCTTAAAATAGAAATGGGGCTGGGAAGGTGGCTCAGTGGTAGAGTGCTTGCCTTGCATGCCTGAGGCCCTGGGTTCAATTCCTCAGCACCACATAAGAAAAAAAGCCGGAAGTGGCGCTGTAGCTCAAGTGGTAGAGCACTAGCCTTGAGCTGAAGAGCTGAAGGACAGCGCGCAGGCCCAGAGTTCAGGCCCCACGACCGGACACCCCCCCAAAAAAATAGCACATTAAATTTTTGATTATGAATTTACTGGATCTACATATCAATTCACAAAGAAAGGATGTAATTACCAATACTGTGACCTTTG